AAACCTTTGTCCTAACATATTGTATATGACCAGTAATAATTGTCCATAATCCATATTGTTTACACCAACTTCACAATATTCACTTTACCTACATGTGAGCAGGGAGAAGCCTTCAAGTTAATAGTGAAGTATGCTCATCTTTTGATAGCATGCTGTTCTATTGGTTTTAGTTGTTAATGTTAGTAATATAAATGTTACCTTGTATTTTAACCTTGTTTACACCCCCAAACACACATACCTGTTTGGCTGGTACATAGCAGTATGGAATCTTGGCATCTTCACACACAACAGGGAGATGGCAGTACACTTCTATGGGTGTTGTGTCCCCAGCAATCAGTACAATTCTGTAACACGTAATACCAAGTTCAGTATGGATATGCATAGTAATCCTAGGTGCACTACAATAACAGTGCTGTGTGACTGCCATGGAAGGTTTACATAATAACCTAAGAAGATTACAGATAAAGCAAAATGAGTTGCCAACTCTTACCCCCTCTCTCCCTTCTTGATGAATTTCTGTACATCCCTGATGCCCTTTCTGATGTTCTTCTCTTTTGAAGCTGAAAAAAAAAAACAGACTAATGTAAGGGACAAGTTCAGAAGATGTTCTGCTGGCAATGCTCAATTACCATCAAAACAACTTACCTAAGATTACATTTCAAAACTGAACTGGACATTTGCATAGCAGGTGTTTTATAAAAATTAATTGTCTATTGTCTTGTTTTTTTTTTCACATGTCCACGTTGATCCCCATTCCTACCCTTTGTTAACTTTGCACAGCTGCTAATAATCCATTTTTCTTATTTGGGCTAAGTAATAGAAAAACAAACATTACACTGGTTGCTGCTGGTTCCTGTGAAGCATTGTCACTGAAATAATGCTGAAGTGATGTCTGCTTGCGTGAGTCTTTTTGTGTTTCTCATATATGCTTGACCCCAAATATTTGACAAAGGCATCAAAACAAAATGGCACCTGAAGAACTTGGCCCAAAAGCCAATATGACTGTCACTTGGCTTTGTGAAACAACCCCCCTGGAGTGCTGGGTATATGCACTCTCACGTTTTAGGATAGTCAGCAAATCCAGTGATAAACATGCTACACACAAACTACTGGTCTTTCAGGGCTCCACTTTCAGCTATTAAAATTCACTTTACTAGTACATGTAGCACCTGCCCCTCAGTTGTTGTAGGGTATCTGGAGAGAAGCAGTACAGCAAAGGCCTTACTCAAGCGTTGTCAGGTAAATTTTGCAGTATCAAGGTATGTGGCAGGGGGGGGGGGGGCACCTGGCACTTCTGAAGACTTCGTTGTAGTCCGTGATTGAAGTGAACGTAAAGATTTTGGACTCAAAGAAATATTGAAAAGTTGGTAACGTTGGTAAAATTAAATTGCACGTTCATGGAAAATAATTTCATGGCAGCTACATACTAGCATGTAACGTTAGATGCCACATACACGTGCATGCTGCCAAGCCGTCCAGTCCTACCTTTCTTCACAGTCTTGTACAACCTCTTGGTGAGTTTTCTGGCCGCCAACGGACTGGCTATGGGGTTAACCCGAGTAGCCAGAACTTCGTAAGCCCTCTCTCTGTCTTCCTTGTTTCCTCCCGACTCTTCATGTTCCTCTTTTTCCTCAGTTTTGTCTTTCTTCGGAGTCTTCGCCATGCTGCCTGCCGCTAATGACGCTGGACGGAACCAATCTAGTACATGGGGTACGACGTTATTCTTCTTTAGACATCATTGACAAAATTATGTCAAATTGAAGTTGATGTAAATAATGATAACATTTATTTGTTGAAAATTTTTTTGGTAATGTTTATGGACTTACTTGAAATATTTCTGTTGGTTTTATATCATTTAGGGCCATGATTTAGCCCCTCCGTAAAGCGTAGTGAAGTCTGCATAGTCCAAACATTTTAGAGGGGCCAAATGGTAAAAATAAGATTCTTAACAACTCATTGAGCGATACTATACGACAGGAATGACACCAACGTATTAATAAAATGTATTATATTATAAATTGTTATTATTTTTTATCTTCTTGTGATCTTTTTACCAGTATTTTGCAATTGTCGTACGTAAACAGCATCATCCTCCCCAATCGCGTTTATGGTAGACTCCAAAATCAACATGGACGAAGCGCTTCCAAAATATTTTTCATCTACGGAGAGAGAAAGGCTCGGGTATTGAAGATGAACGCGAGAACGCAGACGTTTGAACTGTCGTGTGAAGGTCGGCAGATCGAAGAGGTCCTGTTAGGAATCTTTCACACCATCCTATTCCACAGAACGACGGGGAAATTCCACTACAAAAAGGAAGGAACCTACTCCATAGGCACAGTAGGTGTTGTTGACGCTGACTGCGACTTTGTTGACTTCACTTACGTCCGCTGCGACTCGGACGAGCTCGATCGGAGCCTGAAACGCGAAGTCGCGTCGTTCAAGGACGCCCTGAGAAAGGTGGAAGGTCCCTGCGAGGGACAAATCTCCCTGGAGTTCTTCCAGAAGAAGCGAAGTCGGTGGCCGTTCCCTGCAGAGAGTATCCCTTGGGAGGTATGACGTCATCTTTAGAGATTTTGGATCTGTACTGAAGCCATGTATTAAGCATTGTAGATCCAAAGGGACACAAAGTCAGTAAGATCCTCACCTGGCTTCTTGTAGATATCGGCTTCTCGTAAATTAGGTCACTAAAATTGTATCCTGTACTTTTAGTTTTATTTGGAATTGATGAAAAGTATGTATGAATATTATATGTAAAATAGACCATCTAGTATACAACATAGGGACCTGTTTGCTCCTACAAAACTTTGTAGATTTGTATTTGTTTGAATTCCACCATTAATAACCACTCCCTCTCCGTCCATCAGGTGTGGACGCTGAAGCTGAATGTCATTGACCTGAGCAGTGAGAGTGAGCGGCAGATCTGCCGGGAGAAGGTCGGCGAGAAGCTGGCGGAGAAAGTCATCTGCATCGCGGAGGCCATGAATCGACACGAGTTCCTCCCTAAGAACCCAAACGAGCCGGACCTGGACAACGTGTTTGACACCAGCTTCCCAGACGTGCAGCCCTACCTGCACAAGATCACGTTCGAGACGGGGAGTTCCAGTGGGGCAAATGTGGGCCTGACTGTCAGAAGACTCTTCAGAGACACTTTGGCCATATGAGAAGTTATTTGACTGAGACTGTGTGAGAGGAAATGTAATCAGTCAATGTTGAAGATTAATGTTAAAAGGTTGAAAGGACTATGAAGGAAGTTGTCAGCAAAAGATGTTTGGGTTTTGCCTTCGTCATACATTGTGCCCACTTTCCCACCACATGTTTTTCCTATCAGCATATAGTGTAACAGTTACTATTGTATGCTACGAAAATAGCAGGCCAGTGGAGCCAAAAGTATCAACCAAAAGCCAGCAGCTAACTAGATTACTGCTGAATGGATTTTTCAATGATGCAACCTATAAACTGTTGAACTCACTAATCAATTAAAGCTTGTACAGTGTAGAGGTCCAGAATGTTGGAGGATGGATCCTAAGGACCTTCCTGTGAAAGACACCTGATGGACTGGCTATAGATATGTACACATCAACTACTGGTTTAGTACTGGATGTCATAGTCATGTACAATATGTACTGTGCAGTGCATGTCAAAGAGGTGATGTTCTGTTACATTTATTCAGTCTCAAATGTGATTTAGCCAAAATATTAGTAGTACTTGTACTTGCTGATGAAAAAGTTCTACATGAATGCTACCGGGTATATTGCAAGTGATATACATATACACATGAATATATTCAGTATATTCAGGTAGTATGACAATTTGCTTTTGTTATATGTCAAAGAAAACACAACAACACTACAGTTCTCTATTTCATGCTTATATGCGTATGTGTGAATATAGTTGAGAATGATTGTAATGTTTGGATTCCCCCTTTGGATGACTGTTGTTGCTCGATAATGGTTCATTTTCCTGCAAATCAGATAATATTTCTGTGAATGTTTTATTAATGTGTAAAGAGACAAAAACAATGTAAATGGTGTACATTTTACAAGAATGTCTTGACTGTTTTGAGTGATGTACCAGTAAATTGTTTCATTTGTTACACAAATGAAGTGTAAGTCTGCTTGTGTTGTGATTTATTCATACCTGTTCATGTGTCTACAGGTGTTGATGATGTACTGATGAACATGGTCAGCAAACTGCAGAAATAATGATAAATATATAAAAAAAACATTTATAAACATGTATTGAACTTGCTTTTGTCTTTACATTGTGTGTGTAAATCATGTTGGTCTTGGGACACAGGAAGAGATTTGGAAGTAATTTTTCTCTGTCTTATGCTAACACCAGAGGTAAATATCTGTATTCTGTACACAGCGATCACTTCCAAAACATAGCTCTTCTCAAAGGTAATTATTGTTCATAACACACATGAAGGTCTACAGATCACAGGAATGATGAGGCTAACGTGTGCCAGACTGTTGCCAACTCCGGCCAGCTCAAGGGCGGCTAACGTGCGCCCGAGGTAGACCATGAGCTGGTTCTATTTCGGTAAGGTCGGAGAAGCACCCATCTAAAACATTTCATCAATGTTTCCATATCCATTTCCATATACCATAATTTGATTATCACATTGTGCAGTATGCTTCAAGAGACTCGTTCGCTAAGTGACTTTTGAACTTTTCCCTCTCAACTGCAGCTATAGTCTTCATAATACCTGAGGCGATGTGATTTTTCCAGGAACTAGTAAATCCCAACAGGACAATAGCAAGTTTTGACATACTGTCACACCAAATCTAACCTTCTTAGCCTCTGCACATTCACAGCTATCTACAGTCCTTACAGTTGAGCCAGCGCTGCGTCAACATTTTAAAGGTATACTGTTTGTTACTGAGTACATATACGATTGTCTCTTTAAACCTTCTTGGTTGAATGCACCTCAAGTCCAGAAACAGGTGTCCTGACTACATTAGAGTTGGAATAGGTAGCAGTTGCATTTAGCTTGTTTTTACACAGTCTCTCGCTACCGGTCGGCCCGGTCACTTGGAGCACGATAATATTTTGATAAGCCCTCGAGTAACCTCCACATTATACATGTACTATTCCCTATTGTCATAAAATTGGGGTGATCTTGAGAAATCTTAGGGTAACTTATTGTTGCAACCCCTAGCTGAAAATTTTATATCCATAATCATTTTATACCGTAGCTAATCAAATTTCTGCCGTGAAAAACTCCTAGAGGGTGTAAAAACTACAGGGGAGCCTAGTTGAAATGGGTGACGGCGAACATCTTTCATCAGGCCTGAAGGCATGTCCAAACCTTGATAGACGTCGACTGGGCACCAGACAGGCTATTATAATATTAGCGCAGCCCGTCACACTATTGGCTACAGTGGATTCCCGCCCGTGAACGTCAATTTTGACATCTCCTTGGTCTTGAAAGTGAACAAGTGAACTGAATAACAGTATCATGTTGAAAGACTCTCCAAGACCCAGGAGATTTAAAGACTCTCCAAGACCCAGGAGATTTCAAAATACATATATATGCGTTCACAGAGTTTTTAAACTCTCGACCAAGACCAAGGAGATTTCAAAATGATTCTGTTATTCACTTCTCTATTAAAATACATTTTCGCTCAAGAATGATCCAGAGGTTTGACATGGTGGGGATGCGGGATGTGAGTCGGCTGGCGGGCCGGGCCGGGTCAGCCTGTGGCCGCGGGTCTCGTCCACAGGGCTTGGTTTGTTTATCTGTGATTAAAATTTTATTTAAGTACTTGAGGTTGATTTGTACCCATACCGACGTGGTCTTTCAGAAAATAACACATACTTTCTGGTGCTGCGTTCCCCATGTCAGCAGCAGACAAGATGGGCCACGATCGCTAAGGTCAAGGATACAGGTCAAGGTTCTTCATAATCACCCCTCTGGAATTGGAAACATGTAGTCTACATAACTTATCTCATTATGCGGTATTTTAATTCAGTAAATGATATCAACCCTTTACCTTTGGTTGTGATATACATATATTTGCGGTTGTCCTGACAGCCAGACATCCTGTTTACGCGGTAATGGCTATGGCTTGTCTTGATGAGGTTGTGGGTTGGGAACGCCGGGAGGGAGTGGAGCCCAGGTCACAGGAAGTGGGCCCTGGGTGGGGCCAATTAGCCGGTTCTATTTCTGTGCGAGGTAAGGTGGGAGAGGCACCAATGTTTACTAAACCTTAGACAAAAATAGAGCTGCGAGGCTCGCCCTCGGATGCAACAGATACACAAGCAAGGACGCTTTGCTGCAGATGTTGGGGTGGTTGCCCGTGAAAGAGAGGATTCAACAGAAAGACCTTTTGACTTTTCGCAAAATGATGGAGAACAGACAGCCCGTTTCCCTGTATAAACAGATCACGTTTCAGTCACATGGATACCAAACCAGATCAACAAAGTCACAAACTATCCGTCTCCCCAAACCTAGAACAAATGCTCAGAGAAAACGCTTTTTGTATCGGATGTCACACACCTGGAACACTATGAAATTGTAGAGGCATGGAACAATGTGCAACAACTTTTGGAGAAATGTAAAATAGGTATTTTAGGTATATGGCGGTCATGTAAGCTAGCTTTGTTCTGTCACTTGGTGTTTTTGTGGAGTTTCTGTACATGTTTATGTCTGTATAAGTTATTTTATGTGTGTCAGGTGTATATGTTAATTGACCACAGGAAGAATAGCTGCAATATGAATTGTTAAGCTAATTGTGGATCTAAATAAACCAAACCAAACCAAACCAAACCAGACAGAACTATAATATATAACACAGATTGGTAATATATTCACGATTTTCTTGTTCATTATGTAACGAGATCGATTGAAGTGAACAATACGGTCATTTGGTGCCGATACCACACGGAGAACTTGATTCGAACAAGGCCACTCCCCGCTCCAAGTGACGATGAAGTTGTCCTGTGCCAACAAACCGCGATCATTTGTTTAGCAAAACTTGCGGCAACACCGGATATTCGCATTGTCTAGGAAGGCGGTCCCCACGAAATATAAATCAGAAATTATGGAGCCACGCACAATTACGTCCGTGATTTATCACAAAATTACCCGTGCGGACTCAGCAAATTTCACCTTTGGCCCAGCGCACCCAGATGTATATATTCGTACAGGTTGGGCAGCACCTTCAGTCAACAGACTACGCTCAGTTCTTTACATAGTATACCCTAACAGTCAAGTATACGGTCGATTATCGTGTTGACAGACAGACAGACAAACACACACAGACAGACATACATACATACATACATACATACATACATACATACATACACTCACACACATACACACTCTCGCACACACACACACACACACACACTCGCACGCATACAGACACAAACACGTACACACACACACACACACACACACACACACACACACACACACACACACACACACACACACACACACACACACACACACACACACACACACACACACACACACACACACACACACACACACATACACACACACACGGATGCTACTGAAAACAATCTTCTCGTGGAAGATAATAAAATCGGCATCCACGCAAGATGTAATGGATTTCAGTTTCTTGAGAGTACACTTGCCTGGTGTCGCGGTACTGTATTTATTTGTTTGGGGACGCCGGAAGTGCGTTCAACTTCGGGTCACCGGAAAGGGTGGGATCATTTAGTCGGTTCTATTCTGTTTTGGGTGACATCGAAGCAGCAAAGATTTTCATATTCCTGTAAATACCGTTTAGAATATTAATGTTCTCAATTTTTTTTACATAAAAAGCAACAACAATCTTTTGAAACGATGCGATTATTATTCTAAATTTCCAATGAATTATTGAGATGTTGCCTTAAAAAGGCCCCGACCCGAAGTGAATTTTCCGTGGGTCGGTCCAAATGGGTCGTGATCGTCACTTTGACAAACACCTGAAGCACGTGTTCTCCCACAGATCCACGCAAGAAAGTTGATTCCCGCCAAAGAATGACTCAGTTGGCCACGCATGATTGTGTCTGAGTTATCTAATAATTGTTAGTAAAGTATGTACCTCTTTCACGTACATAACAAGTGTCTCTCGGTTGGATTAAGTGTCTCAGTAGGACAATGTGTTATTCTTTAAGCGAGGACAACTGCAGAGGCGGTAGACCGTCTACTCATTTCCTACAGTTCCTGGAAGTGCTGGGAGTGAAAAATTTCTACGTAGCTGTGAACTTGGTTTGGAGGAGTTAGTTCCGCTACCTCGTGGTGCTCGGCTCTCTGTGTTCATATAACTCCGGGGGTTACACACCGTCTTCGCGCTTGCAGGTAAATATTACCTGACTATTCGTGTAAATTCCGCATGTTCTTATCCATGTACATACGTAGGAGCCTTGGAGTTTACTTCAGTCTTGCGGTTTTGAAGGAACGACGACAGCGAGAAAATCGATAACAGGTTGGTAATGGCTATGTCAGGGTTTTAGTTGTTGTATGGTCACTGCGGGTAGAGACGGAGGTCGGGGGATTCCGTTCGCGCTTTTATTCATGTGCTAGAAAAGTGACAACTTCAACATATTGCTGGGTCATAGTTATAATGATTCGATGTACACATACCCTGAAGTTAGTCCCTAACTATGCGACCAAAGTTTCTCCTATCCCTCAGGGACATTATAACTGCATGACTGTAGGTATGAGCCCCTATATGAAAAGCCGGGGGCGGGGACATGTGCCCTGCCCTGTTAACGTTAGTTTTCTGATCAATCTACCCCAGATATAGTATTTTTCCACCACGTGCTCCACTATTTCTCCAAGCAGATTTTGGGATAGTAACGACTGATCATGACTGACATCGAGCTTGTCTAACATGTACCACGTGGTTGCTCATGCAGTTACATTACGGAATGTGCGAAGGGGGCGTGCGTGGGTTTAAAAACGTGAAGATTTGAGATTATAGACCATTGTTTCTTTGGAAGACAGTCCCGGCGGATGCCTCTAAACAAAGGTACGGCACGGCCACGCCTCCAACTTCGCCCTAGTCAGCAATTCACCTGTATACTTGATAACACCTGTAGGCGTTAATTAGGACTTCCGGTAAAGAAAGGCACCAGAGCACCTTCAAGTTGCGAGTGTCAGTCCTCAGTTGTCACTTTCTCACAATCCGAGATGAAGGAAACACCAGCCGCAAGAACGGTCCAGCATGCTTGCCTAAAAGTTTGCAGCACCTGATGTAAGACTTAAGACATTTGACCTAGACGGTTGGACAATGTTAGGCTTACGTACGTATCGGGTTTCATGACGTGAGCTTCGCTAAGTTGTTTTCCCGGACGAAGGTAAGTCTCGTTGGTGGGTCGATATATCCAACGATCTGGTGGACTTCAAAAATACTTGTCTAAGTTATAATGGGTCGGAAGGTGGTAGTATCGTGGTGGACAACACTGTCAACTATTCAGTGTTGGATAAGCACATGGCCGCCGAAAATATTTCAGGAAAGGTGTCCGCGCGTTTTGTTGTGGGCGGGGCTGCATATTCCGTCCCGAGTCAGCGTGCCCGAGCACGGGGCACTGGGCTGAGTCGAAAAACGCATGCCATTTAGCGACTTGAATTGAAATGAAACAGAATCGTGTACTTAGTATGTATGTATACTTTTTTTTACTTTACATCAATCGATTAGCCTAAAGTAGTCGGATCGAGCACCTACCTGAAACGGTTTTTGCTTGCACACGTGACGTACGTTTGGCGACGCGCACATTCAAGTTGAAAATGGCCGCCATGTTGTTTTCCTGTCGCCATCGCATTGAAAGTATTGAATAGAGTATTGGTGAGCAACACTACATGTTTGTCACAGACCATATATGAATACTACAGGACAGTGGTGGTGGAATGATTATCACGGTTTTGCCATGGCAGCTCCCAATTTTTCTACCACCCACCCACCTGTTTGGAGACGCTTTTCCCTTTCTCAGTTCTCAATTCCCCAAGTTGCAGTTGCCACGAAAAATAGCAATATACGAGCACAGTTCATTTTTACACTTATATCTATATTGAACTTATTAGACATTACATGATTGATACGAATGTCTGACCTCGAAAAGTGAGAGTAGGATTCAGACCGCGCTCAAAGTTTTTTTTGTACATGTGTGTAAGAACAAGGATAAGGTGCACGACCTTAAAAGATCGATGTTAAAACAAAGAATATGTTGT